AAAAAAGACAAAAATGATAATAGCTTACCAGAAGAGAAATGTCTCCTTTCTTGTAAAAGTTGGCATGCTTGAATTCCTCGACATCCATGCCTATCTTGGTAGCTACGTCATCCATTAGTGACTCAATAATGAACACACCAGGCAGATACCCTAACAATACAGTTACCAATGAATGCTATTAGTTACAGTGGGTGGATTTTGAAGCTGAAAATACTGTATACGCATAGGTGTAGGAATGATTCAAAAGTTGGAGGGGCTGAACATAAAAGCATGTAAATATGTACTGTCATATGTGCTCTCGTCAGAGACTAGTTCCATTGGACTACAATTTAATTACCTGATCCCTTCAATGTTATTGCTACATTATGCCCATTTAAGTAAATGAAGTTTCAAGCTAATAATAACCTACTAACAACTTGAAAAAAAGCCATGTGATGGTATTTCTTATTGTTCATCTACCAAAAGTTGGGGGGGCTAAGCCCCTCCTGCTAAAAAGTTGGGGGGGCTTCAGCTCCCCTAGCCCCCCCTTTCCTACACCTATGTGTATACGCCATATATTTTGCGAGTGTAAAATTTTGTTCTCACAAATAAAAATTTTGTGATTTTAATTTAATTACCACATTTACTATAATCAGCATGCTATTGTGCGGAATTTAATTCAGTGAAACTTAATCCCCACAAAATATATGGCATATAGAGTAGAAAAAAATGACATTTCCAGCAAAATTAGTACATATTATTGTCTTAGTATGTTCGTATGTATTTTGGTGCCTGTAAATTCTTACCAGGTGCCCTAGTATAAGTATTACTGGGAGTGTGTGTTCTGCAGGTAGTCTGTGTTACTGACCAATTAGAGCAATTGTAAGCTACAGTATAAGAAAGAAGACATACATGTACATTGTAATTATCGTACTACCATATAGCGTAAAATTTTCGAGGGCTGTAAATTTTGCAGATTTGCCTAAAGACCCATTTCACAGATTACATTTTCACGAATTTATGCCTCCTGCCATCTTGTACCATAATAATTTGATAGTAATTTCTGCAAATCTTTAACAATCATGAAATCCACGAAATTTACAGCACTTGAAAATTTTGCACTATATGGTATGGCATATACACTGTACATGTACATGTAGCTAAACATACTGTTATCAAGGTTCCTTAGTGCATAAGGTAAGTAGGAGTCATTGCTACTGCAGCCAGCATCAGTGAACACATCAATTTTAATCCCATTTAGAACCCCAGCCTTAGTACAACCAACCTGTGAGAGAAAAAGGGAAGAGATGATTATGTACATGTATCTACATGTAGTAGGGGAGAGGTCTTACAGTGTATTTGGCATAGTAAGGATATCTCTTCCCAACCATTTTCATGTTAGATTCAAGATCCATGTGTAGCCTCACTGGCCTGTAAATTACATGTATGTAGTCATTAAGTATAATTATTATCAAACTGACCATAAAGCCATTTTATTAATAATTTATGAAAAGTGGTAAGAGCATCAGTTGTGGGTCAATAATTTTTACCAGATACATGCATGTGGTGAACCTGTTTTTCTTATAATGTGTAGGCTGGCAAGCACATTGAGTCACATTTACTCTACATTGCTTGCTTCATGCAAACACTATAATAATGGTAGTTTGTATAAAAGCAATTTTGTGAAAATCAAAGAAAAATGAAATTACATTGCAGGGTCTCTAAAGACCCTTACAAAAATTATAATATGACAACAACTCTCTGGAC